ACACACATACATGCACAGACACAAGTACACACACACACATACATATACATACACGCAGACACATGTACAGATACACACATGTACATACACACAGACACATGTACATGCATACACAGACACACACAAACACACACACACACATGTACACGTATACACACACACCCATAAAAAGTTGCAGTACTTCGTTGTTCACTCACAGATCCGGGTACTGCACTCTAGGGGGAGGCAGAGAGCACAGCACACACACTCCTTGCTTTGCTGTCACTGCGCTCAGCTATTGATCAGTCTGACGGCTCCCAGTGCCAATGACAGATCCGGCCTGAGCTCCGAGCCTGCTCAGCAAGATGGCCCTGGGGGACACACACTCGCCCCCACCCATCATTTCTACTCGCCATTGGCGAGCAGGCGAGTGGAAATTTCAAGCCCTGATCTAAGGTATTTACTGAGCAGATATAAAGAAAAAGGGTTTTGACATCCAGTTCACACAGTGCGGTGCGGGACACTGCATGTAATTCGCACAGGAATCGCACTGCATGCAAATGTCTGTGCGGTGCGATTTTGTGTGGCTCAAAACCTTTCACATCCGCATCGAAAAGGTGTAGAGCCTTTTTTAAATCCACACCTGAATCACATCGCACGGGTGTTCTCACCTATGTGGTGCCATTTCTGGCAATTGCATCGCGTTTTGTGATCTGTTTCAGGATGTCATTAATTTGTCATGGACTCCCGCACCAGATCGCATGAATGTGATGCAGTGGGGGGAAATGCGCAGGATTCGCAGCGTTTCCCGCACCGCCTTGGTGTGAACCCGCGCTCAATGGGATGTTTAACAGAGTAAAAGGGAGAAAATAAAAGGAAGTTATTATTAGGGTTAAATAATAATAATTCATATTCCGTTTTCTCAGAACAGCCATTGCCATTGGGGGGATTTTCCTCTGCCAGCTTTAGGCAGTCCCCCCAATACTGCACCCCCACCTGAAAACCTTTCCTGTAAGGTGCTTGCAGCCCCCCCTGCTCTGAGCACCCACAGGGCCTACTTTTCTCTTAACATTTCACCCCTTCTACAATGCCCGCCAACCCTCCCCCACAGAACTCACAGGCAGCACCCCAATACCAACCCACACTATTGGGCAGCCTCCAACTACACTCTGAACCATACCCCCCCTCCTGCATTGTGCCTGTAGCCCCTTCTCTAAGCACCCGCAGACCCCCTTCTCTCAGCACCCGCAGACCCCCTTCTCTCAGCACCCGCAGCCCCCCTTCTCTCAGCAACAGCAGCCCCCCCTTCTCTCAGCACCCGCAGCCCCCTTCTCTCAGCACCCGCCCCCCTTCTCTCAGCAACAGCAGCCCCCCTTCTCTCAGCACCCAGCAGCCCCCCCCTTCTCTCAGCACCCGCAGCCTCCCTTCTCTCAGCACCCGCAGCCTCCCTTCTCTCAGCACCCGCAGCCTCCCTTCTCTCAGCACCCGCAGCCTCCCTTCTCTCAGCACCCGCAGCCCCCCTTCTCTCAGCAACAGCAGCCCCCCTTCTCTCAGCAACAGCAGCCCCCCACCCGCAGCCCCCCTTCTCTCAGCACCCGCAGCCCCCCTTCTCTCAGCAGCCGCAGTCCCCCTTCTCTCAGCACCAGCTGCCACCCTTCTCCAGCAGCGCCCACAGCACCCCGCAGTCCCCCTTCTCTCTCACCCCGCAGCACCTGCAGCCCCCTTTCTCTCAGCACCCACAGTCCCCCTTCCCTCAGCACCCACAGCACCTGCGGCCCCCTTTCCCTCAGCACCATGCACCTGCAGCCCCCTTTCCCTTAGCACCTGCGGCCCCCTTTCCCTGAGCACCTGCAGCCCCCTTTCCCTTAGCACCTGCAGTCCCCTTTCCCTCAGCACCCACAGTCCCCTTTCTCTCACAACATACCACACCTCCACCCCCCCCCGTTTTTTTTTTTCAGCATGTCTGAAACCAGATTTTATTTACCAACCACCATGCTTGCACCCCTCTCAACACCCTTCTCTCAGCACCCACAGCACCTTTGGACCCCCCTTCCCTCAGCACCCAGAGCACCTGCAGCCCCCCAACTGGGAAAAACAGCCACTCAGCCACTAAGTGGTAGGCCACGTCACATGACAGGGCGGGGTCAGCGCATGCTGAAGCGCACAGTGCGCAGAAGTCACCAACTGTCTGCAGAGCCAATAGCTAAAGACCTCCAAACTTGGTGTGGCCTTCAGTTGAGCCCAACAACAGTGCGTAGAGAGCTTCATGGAATGGGTTTCCATGGCCGAGCAGCTGCATCCAAGCCTTCCATCACCAAGTGCAATGCAAAGCGTTGGATGCCGTGGTGTAAAGCACGCTGCCACTGGACTCTAGAGCAGAGGAGACGTGTTCTCTGGAGTGACCAATCACCCTTCTCTGTCTGGCAATCTGATGGATGTGTCTGGGTTTAGCAGTGGCCAGGAGAACGGTACTTGCCTGACTGCATTGTGCCAAGTGTAAAGAGTGGTGGAGGGGGATTATGGTGTGGGGTTGTTTTTCAGGGGTTGGGCTTGGCCCCCTAGTTCCAGTGAAGGGAACTCTTCAGGCGACATTCTGGACAATTTCATGCTCCCAACTTTGTGGGAAGAGTTTAAGGATGGCCCCTTCCTGTTCCAACATGACTGCCCACCAGTGCACAAAGCAAGGTCCATAAAGACATGGAGGAGCCAGTTTGGGGTGGAGGAACTTGACTGTCCTGCACAGAGTCCTGACCTCAACCCCATAGAACACCTTTGGGATGAATTAGAGCGGAGACTGCGAGCCAGGCCTCCTCCCCCGACATCAGTGCCTGACCTGACAAATGTGCTTCTGGAAGAATGGTCCAACCTTCCCATAGACACCCTCCTAAACCTTGTGGGGGCCTTCCCAGAAGAGTTGAAGCTGTTATAGCTGCAAAGGGCGGGGCCAACACAATATTGAACCCTACAGACTAAGACTGGGGGGCCATTAAAGGTCATGTGTGTGGAAAGGGCGGGGCCAACTCAATATTAAACCCTACGGACTAAGACTGGGGGGCCATTAAAGGTCATGTGCGGGGGAAAGGGCGGGGCCAACTCAATATTGAACCCTACGGACTAAGACTGGGGGGCCATTACAGGTCATGTGTGTGGAAAGGGCGGGGCCAACTCAATATTGAACCCTACGGACTAAGACTGGGGGGCCATTAAAGGTCATGTGTGTGGGAAGGGCGGGGCCAAATCAATATTGAACCCTACGGACTAAGACTGGGGGGCCATTACAGGTCATGTGTGTGGAAAGGCTGGCGGCCCAATTCTTGGGGCAATATAGTGTGTGTATGTATGTATGTATGTACATATATATATATACACACACACACACACACAGTATCTCTCTCTCTCTCTCTCCATATATCTCTGTATATATAAATTTTTCTATATATAAATTTCATTTGGGTACAGTGTTGCATGACTGAGCAATTACTAGTTAAAGTAGCACAGTGTTAAATAGCAGAAAATGGAGTGGTCATGAGGGGGGTAATACCTTACAGTACATAAATAGAATTTCTCTTCCCTCCCTAATTGTGATCTCTCTGGGTAATACACCCGTACCTCATACTCAATGACAGCTCCGCCCCGCACCCAACACCGGCTCCACATTGAATAGGAAGAACCGGTCTTGCAACCTTAGAAATAAGTGACAGATCGGAGGAAACTTTTCTAGCAGCTCATTTTTCCTTCTTCTGTCTGTCCGCCCTCTTACTGGTACTCCCAATTGTGAATTCAATGGTGGGGAACTACAGTCCGGGGAACCCGGGGGGGGGGGGGGGAGTAAACAGTCCCTGTATTCAGATGTGAAGAGGAAATGACAAAAACAAAGACAAGTCATTATTTACAGAGATCACATGTGACTGGGAGAGAAGATCCAACACAGGAGGTCACACTGCATTGTATTCTCTGTGTATTAGTGGCCGGAGGAGTATAAACTCATGGAAACCCAAAATCTATTTTTAGTATGTTTGGCGTCACGTCTCCCTGTATACCGGATGTTGCCCATAGTTACTATAAATAGAAGTGAACTCCTGTATGATGGTTTAAACACGATCCAAAACCAGTTACTATGTGATGTACAAACCTCATGCAGCCAACAAACAACTTCCTTGACCTCCCCTGCAGGGTCACATCCAGCCTAACTGATCTGGGGGTGCAGGGAAAAGGTCGGGGGGCGTAAGCACTGTGCGTGAGTCACTGACTGTATCACAAAGTCTCACGAGTGCCCCCTTACATTGATTGTCTTCATCAGAGTGCCCCCTTACATTGATTGTCTTCATCAGAGTGCCCCCTTACATTGATTGTCTTCATCAGAGTGTCCCCTTACATTGATTGTCTTCATCAGAGTGTCCCCACATTGATTGTCTTCATCAGAGTGCCCCCTTAAATCAGGATCCCCATTGGAGTGCCTCTTTATATCAGGTGTCCCCATCAGAGTGTCCCCTTATATCACGTGTCCCCATCAGAGTGCCCCCTTACATCAGGGTTTCCCATCAGAGTGCCCCCTTACATCAGGGTTCCCATCAGAGTGCCCCCATACATCAGGGTTCCCATCAGAGTGCCCCCTTACATTAGGGTTCCCATCAGGGTGCACCCTTACAGCAGTGTTCCCATAAAGTCCCCCCTTACATTGATTGTCTTCATCAGAGTGCCCCCTTACATCAGGGTTCCCATCAGAGTGCCCCCTTACATTAGGGTTCCCATCAGATTGTCTACTTACATCAGGGTCCCTATCAAAGTGCTGTATTTGCATAGTTAACACCCACATGTGATACTGAACCTCCATGATTTAATTCCAATGAATGAAAGGGGCGGGGCAAGGGAGGGTCAGGCCTGGGAGGAACGGCTAGATGATGCTGGATGTCCTCCAGCCAGGAAATGAGGAGGAGCTCTACCTGACTGGCTGCAGCTTCTAATGCACATTGCAAGAAGCTGCCAGTGTACAGTGACATCATAGGAAGCCATTTTAGTCCAGGGGAGGACCCGGTACACCTGTGCAAGACTGGAGGGGAGGAGCCGGTACACCTGTGCAAGACTGAAGGGGAGGAGCCGGTACACCTGTGCAAGACTGAAGGGGAGGAGCCGATACACCTGTGCAAGACTGAAGGGGAGGAGCCGGTACACCTGTGCAAGACTGAAGGGGAGGAGCCGGTACACCTGTGTAAGACTGGAGGGGAGGAGCCAATGCACCTGTGCAAGACTGAAGGGGAGGAGCCGGTACACCTGTGCAAGACTGAAGGGGAGGAGCCGGTACACCTGTGCAAGACTGAAGGGGAGGAGCCGGTACACCTGTGCAAGACTGAAGGGGAGGAGCCAATGCACCTGTGCAAGACTGAAGGGGAGGAGCCGGTACACCTGTGCAAGACTGGAGGGGAGGAGCCGGTACACCTGTGCAAGACAGAAGGGGAGGAGCCGGTACACCTGTGCAAGAGTAAAGGGGAGGAGCCGGTACACCTGTGCAAGACTGGAGGGGAGGAGCCATTACACCTGTGCAAGACTGAAGGGGAGGAGCCGCTACACCTGTGCAAGAGTGGAGGGGAGGAGCCGGTACACCTGTGCAAGACTGGAGGGGAGGAGCCGCTACACCTGTGCAAGACTGGAGGGGAGGAGCCGTACACCTGTGCAAGACTGGAGGGGAGGAGCCGGTACACCTGTGCAAGACTGGAGGGGAGGAGCCGGTACACCTGTGCAAGACTGGAGGGGAGGAGCCGGTACACCTGTGCAAGACTGGAGGGGAGGAGCCGGTACACCTGTGCAAGACTGAAGGGGAGGAGCCGGTACACCTGTGCAAGACTGGAGGGGAGGAGCCGGTACACCTGTGCAAGACTGGAGGGGAGGAGCCGGTACACCTGTGCAAGACTGGAGGGGAGGAGTTGGTACACCTGTGCAAGACTGAAGGGGAGGAGCCGGTACACCCTGTGCAAGACTGAAGGGGAGGAGTTGGTACACCTGTGAAAGACTGGAGGGGAGGAGCCGGTACACCTGTGCAAGACTGAAGGGGGGAGGAGCCGGTACACCTGTGCAAGACTGAAGGGGAGGAGCCGCTACACCTGTGCAAGACTGGAGGGGAGGAGCCGGTACACCTGTGCAAGACTGGAGGGGAGGAGCCGGATTCAAAACCTGTGCACGACTGAAGGGGAGGAGCCGGTAATCTGTGCAAGACTGGAGGGGAGGAGCCGTACACCTGTGCAAGACTGGAGGGGAGGAGCCGCTACAACTGTGCAAATAGACAACTGGAGGGGAGGAGCCGGTACACCTGTGCAAGACACAACTGATGGGCAGGAGCGGAGTGAGGATTCAAAAGTACTTTATAAATTGGCAAGTTGCACAACTGATTGGGCAAACAGCACAATTATCCGGAGCCTCCTGTATTTGGTTTATTATTCTGCAGGTTTATTCAATAAAGCAACAGAACAACTGATGGGCAAATAGCACAACTGATGGGCAAAGAGCACAATTGATGGTCAAGGAGCACAACTGATGGGCAAAGAGCACAACTGATGGGCAAAGAGCACAACCGATGGGCAAAGAGCACAACCGATGGGCAAAGAGCACAACCGATGGGCAAAGAGCACAACTGATGGGCAAGGAGCACAACCGATGGGCAAAGAGCACAATTGATGGGCAAGGAGCACAACTGATGGGCAAAGGAGCACAACTGATGGGCAAGGAGCACAACTGATGGGCAAAGAGCACAACCGATGGGCAAAGAGCACAAACCGATGGGCAAAGAGCACACAATTGATGGGCAAGGAGCACAACTGATGGGCAAGGAGCACAACTGATGGGCAAGGAGCACAAACTGATGGGCAAGGAGCACAACCGATGGGCAAGGAGCACAACTGATGGGCAAAGAGCACAACCGATGGGCAAAGAGCACAACTGATGGGCAAAGAGCACAACCGATGGGCAAAGAGCACAACCGATGGGCAAGGAGCACAACCGATGGGCAAAGAGCACAACCGATGGGCAAGGAGCACAACTGATGGGCAAAGGAGCACAACTGATGGGCAAGGAGCACAACTGATGGGCAAGGAGCAGTAACTCACAGCAGTGACCAGCACAATCTCTGTACATGAATATAATGCTCCCCAATGACCAAAGGCAGCTATGAGCAGCAGAGGAAATCCAGGACGGGTCATCGTACAACTCACCGGAAGGCCAGAAGGTTCCGGCAAAAATTCAGCATCTTCCCCAAAGATGAAATCAGGAGGCAGTTCTGGGTACTTGGCATTAAACATGATGTCCCCTGAAAGAAAGAACAAATATAGAATATTATTATATCTTTTCTTATTATTCTATATTTATCATCATTACTATTAGAAGGTGTAGTAGTGCAGTAGTAGTAGATTATATACAGGATTTATAAAGCGCCAATAGTTCGCTCAGCGCTGTACATTACAATGGGGGGCAGAACAATAACAATACCATTCTATACACGAGGGGTTGGAGGCCCCTGCCCCTTGGAGCTTACAATCTAGGAGATATGATTATTAATTCTATTATTATTATTAGATCTTTTATTATTACTGATATTATTATAATTTATCTTTTTAGTTAGTAGTAGAAGTAGGATTAGTAAACCACACAGCCTGTGATTGGCAGCCTCAGCTCTGAACCTGTGTGTGCTGTGTGGGGGTGGGGTCTGTTCCCTCCAATCAGCTCTCACTAGCTGTGTAATTTCAGCTCTCCATCCCCTTTTTCTGAAATCTCAGACAAGCTTTGTTCATTCAGCACTTTGAATGGCTGTAGAGAAGATGAGGCCCCCATGTACACTGCTGTTCCTAAATGGAAGTCAAGGAGCTTTAGACGTTTTTTGGGGGATTTTTTGCCAAAGCCCCGAACTCAACTCCACATAAGCCTGCATGTCCATGTACACAGGCTGTACCGGAGGTTAGGAGGAGCAGAGTTTAGAGGGCGGCTAAATGTTCCTCAGGAATGCAGAAGAATTGTGTTCAGAGAGGAACGTTTTGGCCAAAAACCCGCTAAACGTGGCCAAAAGTGCACGTAAACGCAGCTAAATGCCGGCCATGTTCAGCGATTGGGCGTTTATTCCATGTCAATGGGAAATAGTCTGCCAATGAAATGAATAAACGTCCAAGTGTTAAATGCGGCTAAACACAGTAGCACAATTACGTTTTTTCTGCTGCCAGGAGAGCCCAAAGTCTAGGGGAGTTCATGTGTACATGAGGGCTAAACAGGTACAACTTATGTAGGAGGGATGTGTTGTCACCCGGGGCCCGTCACTTCACGGAGTTTACCATCAGTATTATTATTATACAGTATTTATAAAGCGCCAATAGTTCGCTCAGCGCTGTACATTACAAAGGGGGACAGAACATGTGACAGAACAATACCAATACAATGCGATACATGAGGGGATTGAGGGCCCTGATCCTTGGAGCTTACAATCTAGGAGGGAGGGGATGGTGGCACAGGAGGAGATAGCTGTGGGGGATGGAGTGGTAGGAAGAGTGGAGGAGATCGATCGGCAGTTAGCAGGGGGTGGGGTAGGCTTCCTTGAAGAGATGGGTTTTTAGGGTGCGCCTAAAGGAGAGGAGAGTAGGTGATAATCTGATGGGCTGGGGCAGGAGTTCCAGAGGATGGAGGAAAGTCCTGGAGGCGGGCATGGGAGGAGGAGACAAGGGAACTAGAGAGAAGGAGGTCTTGTGAGGAGCGGAGTGTGCGTGTTGGGCGGTACTTGGATATTAGGTCAGTGATGTAGTTCGGGGCAGTATGGTGGACGGCTTTGTACGTCAGTGTTAGGATTTTGAATTTGATCCGTTGCGCAATCGGAAGCCAGTGGAGGAATTGGCAGAAGGGGTGGAGGACACTGAATGGAGGGTGGAGGGATTGGCAAGGGGGGTGGAGGTCAGTGGAGGGATTGGCAGAGGGGGGTGGAGGACACTGGGTGGAGGTCAGTGGAGGGATTGGCAGAGGGGGTGGAGGACACTGGGTGGAGGCCAGTGGAGGGATTGGCAGAGGGGGGTGGAGGACACTGAATGGAGGCCAGTGGAGGGATTGGCAGAGGGGGGAGGAGGACACTGAATGGAGGCCAGTGGAGGGATTGGCAGAGAGGGATGGAGGACACTGAGATGGAGGCCAGTGGAGGGATTGGCAGAGGATGGAGGACACTGAATGGCAGCCAGTGGAGGGATGGACTGAAGAGGGGATGGAGGACAGCGGCGAATGGAGGCCAATGGAGGGATTGGCAGAGGGGGTGGAGGATGATGACTGTGGATGAGGCCAGTGGAGGGATTGGCAGAGGGGGTTAGGACACGTGCGGAGTTTTGGCATTGGAGGGATTGGCAGAGAGTCTGGGGAGGAGGCCGGAGGTGAAGGGAGTCTGCATGTTGCGGGGCGGAGTCTGAGTGTTGAGGCCAGGGAGGGATTGGCAGAGAGGGGGTTGGGAGGACACTGAGTGGAGCGGAGTAGAGGGATTGGCAAGGGGGGTGGAGGACACTGAATGGAGATCAGTGGAGGGATTGGCAAAGGGGGGTGGAGGCCAGTGGAGGGATTGGCAGAGAGGGGTGGAGGACACTGAGTGGTGTGGTTTGATTGGCAGAGGGGGGTGGGAGACGGAGCGGTTGGAAAGGTGAATGAGTCTGGCAGCCGTATTCAGGATGGACTGAAGCGGGGATAGCCTCGCGGCGAGGCAGGCCAGTGAGGAGGGAGTTGCAGTAGTCGAGTCGTGATATGTCATTCATAGGGAGTGGATGAGCTGTTTAGTGGTTTCTGGGGGTTGAGGAACGTGCGGAGTTTGGCGATCGGCGGAGGTGGTAGTCTGCATGTTGAGGAGTGGAGTCTGCATGTTGCGGAGGTGGGAGTCTGCATGTTGCGGAGATGGAGTCTGCATGTTGCGGAGGTGGAGTCTGCATGTTGCGGAGGTGGAGTCGCACGAGTTTGTTAAAGATTGGACTGAGGGGGAAGGATAGGTTGGAGTCCAGAATGACACCAAGTACTCTGGCTTACGGGGTGGGGACTGATGGTGGCATTGTTGGACATGATGGAGAAGTCAATGGGGGGTGGTGTCCGGGCTGGGGGGGGGGGGGGTCCCCCTACTGGGAAAGACAGAAAGCGGTTTTGGAGATTCTAGTTTATGAAGTGCAGATGACATCCAGTCTGAACTTATGTCGCTCAGAGGTGTGTGATTCGGGCCCATCACCACTGAGTATGGGGGTGAAGGGAGTGCCATGGAGAGGTAATATGTGTGTCATCACCATACCAGATTCTTAGTTGAACACAACCCGGATGGACAAATCCCCCTACTTTCTGAAAGCTCAGACAAGCTGTGTAAATTCAGGACTTTGAAAGGCTTCAGATAATCAGGTACAACCTATGTAGGAGGATTTGTTGTCACCTGTGTCACGGAGCATACAGTAGGATTTGCCATCAGTATAATCTGCCCATACACCAACCAATTCTTCCATCCGCCCTACACAACCCAAATGGACAAATCCCCCTACTTTCTGAAAGCTCAGACAAGCTGTGTAATTTCTGGACCTTGAACGGCTGCAGATAATCAGGTACAACCTACAGTGAGGAACAGAAGTATTTGAATCCCCCTGCGATTCTGCAAGTTCTCCCACTTCTCCATCATGGAGGGTCTGACATTCACATTGTAGGGGATTCCCACTCTGAGGACAGAATTCAGGAGATCACATTGTATGATTTGTAAAGAATGTATTTGTCTCGCACGGCTGAACAGAAGTATTTGAACACCTGAGAAGCAGCAAGAATTCTGCCTCTCAAAGACCTGTTACTGCACCTTTACACAGCCCCCCTCTACTCCACTCATTCATCTAACTTAGTAGCACCTGTCTGAGCTCTTTATAGACACCTGTCCATCCCACAGTCAGTCAGACGCCAACTACTACCATGGGCAAGACCAAAGAGCTGTCCAAAGACAACAGAGACAAAATTGTGGACCTCCACAAGGCTGGAAAGGGCTACG